TCGAAACTGTGGCCTAGCCGCCACTAGAGCTCTGGACTAGGAAGACCCTGAGGCACCTGCCTCAGCTGCTCTCTTATGGCCTTTTGCTGCCGCATGCAGATTGTTCTGATTCTCTTGAGTCAAGGCATCACTGATGAACTCATTGTATGAGGTGCACCTCGAGTTGGCCATGGTTTTCATTAGCTTAGTGCTAAGGCCTCTCTTGAAACTTTTGATCTTCTTTTCCTCTGTATCAACGAACCCTAGAGCATAACGGGATAAGTTGTCGAATGCATGCATGTACTCTGTAAGAGTCTTGGTCCCTTGTGTGAGTCGCATGAACTCGGTGGCTTTCATGTGCATTTGCCCCGGGGGAATGTGATGTCCCCAAAAGGCTAACTTAAATTGCTCCCATGTGACCTGTGAGTTGGTAGGTAGGGAGGACAGGAAATGGGTCCACCATATTTTGGCTGGTCCCTGCAGCTGATGGAACGCATATTCTGCCTTCTGATGCCCTGTAACCCTCAATAGATGAAACTTTTGCTCAATTGTGTTAAGCCATTTATCTGCCTGAAGCGGTTCTTCGGCCACTTTGAAGATAGGAGGCTTGGTGTCCAGGAAATCCTTGAAAGAGCTGTATTGATTCGACTCAGGCCCCTGTTGTTGCTGATAGGCGCGAGCAGTATTCTACGCGATGAGGCATAGTGTTTTCTCCATTGTTCTCTGACTACCCAAGAACTGTATGAAGAATTCATTCACAGACGGTGGTGGCGGTGGTGGTAAGTCACCATCATTGCCCTCTTGACTGTTGCCTGCTCCAGCACTAGTGCGAGTTATCTGCAAAGTTGCAACAATAGGTGATTATTGGATGATGTCAGGAGATTGCAGATGAATTGTATAATCATGCAAAACTAAAATTACTAAAGAGAATCTTAAATTTATATAATAAAATAGAGGCATAATAATTCATTCTCGCAACATGGCATCACCAATTTGATCACTTATCATGCTCGCAATGCATTAACATGCATGTCATAACCCACCAGTAAAATGAAATTAGAATTTCATTAAAGTTCAACCCATAATGTAATGACATGCAAGGTGCTAATATTACACGGACATCAAATCATGAATACCGAACTTCAATTACACGTCCATTACATAAATAATAGGGATACATCTAGCGCTCTAACTAGTCACTAGGCGATGCTAATCTTCCGTCCATTACATCGAGGTCGGAATAGGATCGTCCTCATCCTCATCTACTTCTTCTTCCTGGGTCCTCATCTCGATCAACATCTCTGGATCTTCTTCTTCCTCATTAAGGATCGGGTGCAGTTGGTTGTTCAAGAAATGCACCTCATGCTGAAGATCAACCACCATGTTTCGTGCACGTAAGATGTGACACAAGTCCTCTCGACACGGTCCGCGACGCTCAAGGCTTGGGTCTGTCTCTCGCTCGCTTCGCCGCCAGTCGCACGGTTGTTTGCTAGGATTGCCGCACGTAGATGTGAACATCCGCATCGCTCTGCTAACATTGCTCTTGCCTCTTGGGCGGCAGCTCTCTGCTAATCAACTTGCTCCATTTGGATATAGAGATTTCCCAGCGCTACATAAGCTTGTTCAGTTTCCCATCAAGCCTCACTTGCTGCCTTTTTGTGCTTGCGCACATGCTTCTTTAGCTTATGCTGTGCAGCTTTGGCTCTCATGAGCTTATCCATGCAGGTGGTGTATGACTCCTGCCAGAAGTCCCTGGTGTCCTGACGAGTGTAGAACATCTTCATCACTGCAAACATTGCACTCATAGCGGGACTAGAACTGTCTGCCCACTCATCTCGATCTCGGATCAACGCATTGCTATTGCGCTATGCCTACACTGTCGTGGATGGACCCACTCGAGGAAAAGTACCAGCGGCACTGCCGATAAGCTCATCCCCATGCTGCTGACAAATCTGACTCAGCACCTCAAAAGCTACTACTTGGGCAGCTTCCCAAGGAGTTTTTCCTTCATATTTCGCCTCCATTCCTGCCAGAAGGGTGCTTAGGTACGAGCTGGTATGGTCAGTTGTACTTCATACCATGGTTGTCCCTCCAGGTATACTTCATTCCAGTAATAGAGGGGTGGTTCGTAATACCCCGCATAATATAAGACTCTCCAAAGTAGGACAGGAGTTCCAAACATCAACAGGAAATTTTCACTTCTAGTCGATGCTGCCATCTGTACCAATAACATGTGCAACTCTCGTGAGACAAAGTCATAATTGATAAGAGTTACATAACCGAGTAAGAGATTTATAAGGGGGGGAACAATGCAAGTATGTAATAATTATGATTTATCATGATGTATGCACATTCCGTATGTTCTCACAAACTTAGGAAAATTAAAACTTCTACGGCATACGTGGTAGCATACATACATTCTCTCATATATAACGTAACTAGTCGGGCTACATGTTTCGTTGTTAGTGTACCTGCACAAGAATTTCATTTCAGCCCAATTCCACAATTATAAATATAGAATGTAAATCTAGGCTCTAGGTTGCAATTTAAATACTTCCATATATATATATACGTGTATATATATATACGAAGGATCAAAGCTAACCCACAATTAAATATATATATACTTCGTATCAAGGCTACCCGAAAGTAAATACGTCCTATATATACATATAAATATGCATATACAGTCTTATCAAAGCTAACCCACAATTAAATACTTCTGTATATATATGAGGCATATATACACTTCAGTATCAAAGCTAATTCTCCCCATAGACCGCACGCTCACAACTTGTGGTCGTGCCACTGTGATGATGATTGACATCTTACATTGGGCGTAGAGGCATTTGATCCATACATTACCACTCAAGTGAATGGCATCCATACAATAGCGCCGTATGGACCATGAAATTAAAAACCCCAAAGTTAGTACTTAATTAGCCACCTGAAGTTCTTAACTGGGCATAAAGAAAGTGATCACTGGCACACTTTAGATTCAAACTCTAGGTTTTAAAACATCTATATATAGCTAAAAGTTGCTAGAAACTGGTTTTGAAAAACAAAAATATTTGTTTTAAATACACATGTAGCAATTAATGTTAATGTTGAATCTTACTCTGATGTCATACTATATCCGGTTCATATTATAAGTCATCCCAAAACGAAATTCAAGATGGGGTAGAGAAGACCCACCACAGTCTGAGAGACTCTGACCTTTTCCCTCACTGAATCAATCCATAAACAAATAAACAATGTTAATGGGTAACAGATATCGTAGAAAAGAAAACCGGTATGTTTTTTCTACAAGCTACTATATATGATAAGTCTACTAGAAGGTACAAAGTACTAGATATCTCCCTGTTGTGGTTGTTATGGTGATGACCTTTTTGTCGATGGTGTACTGGCACCTAACCTTGATAACAATGCTTGCTTGCATAGTAAGGGCTCCTTTAGTTCTCTATTCCTTTGGCCAGTTATTTGGCCAATGCTGGTAATCTTTGGTACAACAGAAGCCAGACGACTATATATATATACACACGCATGATATCTTCACCGAACACCTACTACTTTATATTGTCGTTTTGTTTATCACATCCTATCACACTACATTTCTTATCGTTGAACTAGAATATTCAAGTCTCAATTGCAAAAAAGAATATTCAGGTCCAAACTCGGCACACACTTGTAGTACCTACCTTGTTAACATACGTTTCAAATGAATCTCGTTTTACTGTTCTTTTTTCCGGAGTTGTTGGGTTAGTTGAGATGTACTGGTTTAGTGAACTAGTGAGTCACTGATTCAAAAACTTGACGTCATAATTCTATTTCGACTACTAATTTCCCACCGGATTTCAAATGAAGCTTGAAAATTCTGTTAAATAATAAATATTAATTTACATGGGAATTCAAACACAGACTTTATTATTATATCTGCTTTGCATCTACCAGATTTAATCTATCCTCATCAGGAACCACGTGGCAGTTTGCTACTGATGATGGCCTGATACAGTTTGATCTCTCCTGCATGTCAGAAATATGCCTAGTCAGGGTCACGAAAAAAGAAAGAACCATGGAGTGAATTTACTTTTTTCTAGCTAGATGATGCATCAGCAACAGCCCAAAACACTGTAATCGACCTTCAAGTAAGTAGAACAGGTACATCATCCTAAAACGGGACACCTTTCATTCAATCAAGTACAACAGTACCGGTAGGAAAATTTAACCATCAGATAATGACACTGCTAATCACCGTATCCGGACCAACTGGTCCGGTCCACCTTGTGTGGTGTACACGTTTTACCTTGCTGTTTCCACATCATGATATACTTAATATATATAGTAGATAGATAGATAGATAGATAGAGAATAGATCTTGTCCAGTTCTGTCTATCTATTTTCTTTTTATATGTCTGTGCCACAATAATGGTAAACAGGAAAACATGCGCACAGCCTTTTCCCATTCAGTTGGCTCTGTCGGAATAAAAATCAGCGGCAAATATGCACGCAAGATTGCAACGAGATTCCTGATATGAGCCACACAATAAACATATGTACAGTCTGACAGCGACTGCAACATTATTGGAGCAGCAGCACGCCCCAGGTTGGGTTTGCAGATTCCTGCGGATTCTAAGCGCGGTTTAACTAGGCCAGCAACTGGGATTGAATTGTCAATACCGTAAACGGGGGATGAAGGAGGATGCCGATGCGTCGCCGTCATGGGGTGTCCAGGTGTGCGCTCCCCAGCGATTCGCTAGTCCCAGCCAAAGGCCACATCTTTCTTCCTCCCATTCCCATATTAAGCAGAGCCGAGGCGAGCCCCCAGGCCCCAGCCCAGATGCAATGCAAACATCCCTCGTCTAGTCCTCTTCTCCTCACAAACATCTTATCCCTCCCGGTCGGGAACCGATCGAGGCCATAGAATTCCTTCCATTCCTCGTCCGTTTCCTCCTCCAGGCAGGCACCACCGCACCTAGCTTTCTTTATTGTCGTTCGCCGCCGTGTGCCGTGCCGCGCCGTCCATGGCTAGGAAGTGCTCTAGCTGTGGGAACAATGGCCACAACTCGAGGACCTGCAGTGGGCATGGCAGGACGATGACGGTCTTCGAGAACGGCGGCGGGGGCGGGGGCGGCGTGAGGCTGTTCGGGGTGCAGCTGCACGTGGGGTCCTCGCCCATGGCCATGAAGAAGTGCTTCAGCATGGAGTGCCTGTCGTCATCGACGTCGTCGTCCGCCGTGGCGCCGGCGTACTACGCGGCCGCCGCCGCTCTCGCCGCCACCAACAATAACTCGCCGTCGGCGTCGTCCTCGTCGTCGCTCGTCTCGGTGGAGGAGGCCCGCGAGAAGATGGCCAACGGGTACCTCTCCGACGGGCTCATGGGCAGGGCGCAGGAGAGGAAGAAGGGTGAGTTCCACGCCCCGGAATTTCATTCTCTAGTTTTTTTGGTCGTCCAACTTGTTGCCTACCATGAGTTTTCTGAAGATTCAGATTGTTGTTAGTTTCAAAAAAAAAGTTTCAGATTGTTGTTTCAGAATTTGCAACCTCCTACTATACTATAGCTGTTTCACTCGTTTACTTATAATTCATCAGAGGATTAATGAGACTTTGCAGCTTATTATATATGCCATAGATAGATAGGATAGAATAATAATATACTCCTATTTGGGCAGCTAGTTTGAGTTGAGCTATAAGTCTGAAAAAACTCTGCTTTTTTCTTCTTCTCTGCTGGGTTCCAACCAACCATCACCAGGCGTTCCATGGACGGAGGACGAGCACCGTCGATTCCTGGCTGGCCTTGAGAAGCTCGGGAAGGGCGACTGGCGAGGCATCTCCCGGCACTTCGTGACGACGCGGACCCCGACGCAGGTGGCCAGCCACGCCCAGAAGTACTTCCTCCGGCAGAGCAGCCTGATGCACAAGAAGCGCCGGTCCAGCCTCTTCGACGTGGTACGGTCCCGTCCGTCGCCATGCTCCACCTCCATCCATGCAGCAACACCCATGTAGTACCAGCACACTGGCTGGCGTGTCTGAATCGCAAGTCTGTCTTCCGTTTCAGGTGGAGAACGCCGACAGGGCGGCGACGAGCACCATTAAGGACAGGGAGCAGCGCCTGAGGCTCAAGGACGCGATCGCGACTACCGCCTCTGCAGCAGCGCCCGGAACGACGACGACGCCAGAGCTCCCGGCGCTGTCGCTCGGCATCAGCCGGCCAGCGAGGAGGCCTGACCACGTCGCGCTGCCACCAACCAGCCTGTCGCTGCAGCTGCCGCGGTGCTCGGCGGCAATGGGCAGCGCGTCGCCGAGCCTGGCCCTGGCGGCGCCGAAACACAAACAACCTTCGTCGACCCTGACGGCGGCGGCAAAGGCTAGTAGTAGCCAGGCGCTGCCGGACCTGGAGCTGAAGATCTCGACCGCCCGCCAGAGCGACGTCCACCAGGTCCAGACGGGGTCGTCGCCGCCGCCGCCACCGAGGACGCCCTTTCTGGGCACCATCAGGGTCATATAACCGGAAAGAAGACGTCGACGACGCGGGAACATCCTGCTGGTAGGTAGATGAAGAGCTTTTGCTCATCTGAAGAAAGTTGGTTGGCCTTGTTCGGCTGCTGGGTTTCAGCTGTTGCGGCTGGCTGGCCCTAGGTGTCGGCTACAGTAACTTGTGAGGGAGAGCCGCCAGCCCAGGGTGGGAAAACTGAAAAGGAGGAGCTTTTGGCAGTGGTGTACGTGTGTGCTGGTGGCAGCCGAGACGACGACGACGATGCCGTCGTTTATCATGTGGGTGTAGTGTAATAATATCATCATCAGAAAGATGGAAACTTTACTGGCCTAATTTAGTCTTTGTTTGTTTGTTTTCTTGCAAATAAAGAACGGCTGCCACCATTGACATGCACTACTACTCTCTCGTCTCGCTCGACCTCTTTATGTTGACACAAAGGGGGGTCGATGGTGAGAGATGAGCTCACCATATTCAGCTCAGTTGCTTGTCTCTCTATTAATATATCATATCAGTACTATGATAGTAGCACGTATAAAAGTTTGGTTTGCAGGTGGAGAGTTAGAAGGATACGCAACCATGCCTGTGCCAAGTGCCAAGAGAGTTCTGTTCCTTGTTCCTACACGATGCAATTACGCGAAGGCGAAATATCCTCTCAACTGGCGCTTGGTTCGTTGAGCTGGAATCTTGTTTGGCACGAGTTCGGTTTCGGTGACGAGGATATCTACGGTCCCAAGCAAAGCCACAGTTGGAGATCAGTGGTGGGCAAAAATTAGCACCTGCTGCCCAACTACTAAGCACGACCAAATTAACCTTGGACCACATCTCGCGATCATTTTAAATTTGGCCGTACGTATGTATGCACATTGCGTTTCCACGACCACGCTCCGGTCGTGTCGAATTGTCGATGCTACTACATGCCTCGATAGCTCCCGTGTCAAACAAGGCCCGGCCCTGCTGTAAAACACGGCGTCACCTGCCGTAGTCCCGTCCAGCCCGTAGCCGATACGTTGTCACCCGTATCAGGACGGATACGGGATACTCCTCCGTGGAATTATGGAAATTACTACTAGTAGCAGTGGTTAGGAATAGCAGTCAGATTCGTCTGTCTGACGCAAGAGGCAACAAGAAGGTTGTGGAGTACAGGATCTGACGACGATCACTGGCCTGGCCTGAGCAAAATATCAGTGATACAGTTGGCCGAACGTCCAATGCGGTCGCAAACCGAACGCCCGCCGCCGGAGCTCGGACAGGTGGCCGCCGCGCGTTGGCGCCTGGTGGCGTGGCCACGGCGTCAGCAGGACACGCGGGGACGCGACGGGAGAGCCGAGCTGGGCTGGCGATGCCGAGCGGAGCGGTGGTTGCAGCAGCCTTGCAGGCACCATGATGCGTCGCTTTCTTGGTCGTCCCACGGGACGAACAAATCAATCAGATGGTCAGATGGGCTCTCCATCCTGCACAGATTTTTACTAGTAATACTCGTACCTAACAGAGCACCGAGCACGCCTCTGGTTGCCGATTCGATCGAGATTCGATCGAGCTAGATGGATCTGCCGTTACATTACTATTTTATTATTATTATTATTATTATTACTACTACTACTATTATTGTTGTTGTTATTATTATTACGGGTGGATTAGCTAGGACATGTCGTGCAGATTATTTATTTATGTTGTTAATATATTAACAACATAAATAATCTGCACTTAGATCCATCTAGTGTAGTCTAATGTAGTGTAGTCTAATTGAGTGGAGATCCATACGGCAATCTAATGTAGTATAATCCGCACTTAGGTTCATACGTACTCCACCCACGGCTGGGGTATGGATCTCGCAGCAGCATGTAGGGCCCCGTGTGCATGGTGAAAAAGCCGTGTGGGTGCTGCTGCCGTTGATCGGTTAATAAACGTGAGAAACGGGGTTTGGAACTTGGAAGGAAGACAGATAAAGAGACAAGACAAGGAAGAAAGAAAGAATAATCAAACGGACAAAGCTGGTGCGCAGTCTTATCTTTTGATCATTCCATCCGCTGATCGGTCCGGAAGATATGTGGTAGGATAATACTCCTCCGATAATAAAGATGTTCCTTCCTGTCACTTCTCGCTGGTCTTTTTCTGACCGACCCAGTTTATTTTTTATTTTATTTATGTATATTTCAAAGACAATTCCAACACGTAGTACTAGCTGCACCGTGAGTACTTTTCCAACCCAAAAAGAAACTGTGCGAGGATTATCCGGGGGCACGTGAAACGTTTCGCTGGATTGGATAAACGAAGTCTCCCGGATCTTTCTTATCCCAATTTCCATCCAATGATCTTTTCGAAGTTCCCTTTTTCGTTTCAGAAGAAGAGGAGGAAGAAGAAGAAGAATCCATCCCCTGCTGGCCTGCTCTGCTCCAGCTCCTGTGGTGGTGGTGAGCAGTGGCCACGCGCCCACGCAGGTGTCCAGGTCCAGCAAAAGGCCCGGGCGGTTGGGACGGCGACCCGTGCGCCGCGCCCCGCGCCCCGCCCAACCACGTCGCCGAGGCCGAGCGCGGCGTCAAATCACGGAGGTGGCTCCCAATAATGGAGATTGAGGCCAAGCAGCTAGCACCACCCCATCTGGCCATCTCAGTGAGTCCCGGCTCTCGTTCACCTGGTCCCTAGCAATGGCAGACGTTACAAAAGCTCCGCTCACGGACCGACCGACTAAAACTCGCTGAATGGAATGGGATGGATGGCAAGGGAGGAAGCTGCCAAGGAGACCAATCAGGCAAACTGATATAGGAGTAGGGAGTATTTCTGTGGCTGCTCCGCGCACGTCAGCTTACCAATCCAGGTCTTTTTCATACGCTGCTCATCATTGAGCAGACCGTACTACTACACCAATCCAGGATGGAGCACTGCATCCAGCTTAGTACTACTACTAGATGCGACGTCTGAAAAAATCATCGTCCGGAGACGTGAACAGAAACCTAATTTCGGCGAAGCAAGGTAGAGTACCTATGCTAATCCTATATGAATGATGAGCTCGAGCGAGTGTCATGCATGCGCTCATGCTCACACGGCGACGACTAAGACCATTCTGCGTGCGTGTGCGTGTGACTCATCCCCTCTTCGATTCCTCGGAGGAACATGCGCGAGCTGCAGGTAAGGCCGAGGGCGACGCTAGGGGAAAAGAGAGAAAAACGATGGGCCAGTCTCCTTCGTCCAGATCCTGCAAAATTCTCGTGCGTCTGTAGTATTCCTAGAACAAGTCTCACTTTGCATACGCACTGCAGTAACCAGGAAGCTTGATTTGCTTCAGTGCGGAGACGATCTGCTCGGCAAGTCAGAAGATACTATACTAGTACTCCAACTTGCAGGGAGGATTATGTCCAGAAAATCGACTGCCACCGTAGCGAATGGGGGAAGAGTCATCGGGCTAAAAGGAGCAGATTGGTGGATCCATCATCCATCTAGAGTTTGCACGGAACACATCCACTTTTCAACGATCCGGACGTCTCAACTTCTGTTGATGTCAGAGCGGGCGGGTACGCTGTTGCTGGAGGCAAACAGAAGATGATAAATAGATATGACCCAACAAACACTAAGCACTGCATCAAGGTCAATTAGAGCAGCCGTACCGTACATGCATTCTCGCAGACGATGCCGGCCAGAAGGACAAGTCAAAGCGATGCTTGATTTTGATATATTGGCTGCTACGTTACTTATAGTTCTCAAGCTGTTCATAGTATTAGCAACCTTAGTCAGAGAACCCTTCGGCTACATTTGGTTTCCGGGGACGGGGAACGCAAATTAAATTGCCAATCAGAGTGACCGGGGAGAGCCAATTGCCACATGGAGGCCCATAAACATAGTATGGGCCCAGAAGGACGCCTCCATTAACAAACAGTCGGGCCCAAAGCGAACGGAAACGAGGCCCTATCCAGTCAGAACAAAACAAGCTTGGAAGGGCCGTTTTGCTTGGGCCGGATCCTTCCCCATTGGAAGGAAATACCCGGCGTCAGCCCAAACGAACAAAAACAATAATAATGCTCCTGATTTTCTTCCCAAAACAAGGCCTCGCCCTAATTTATCCTTGCTGGCGTACAATAGCTTGCCTTCACCGACACGACGCGGTGAATAGCTCCCGTCGCGTTCCACAGGAAGAAGTAACCACCGTGCCACTACCGGAGCCGTAAGGAGATGGACATCATTGCCCGCTGCTGTGGTGCCACCCCGTGTTGACAGGCAGCCATGATTGGACCCCAGCGTCGTGGTACTACACGATCGGGGAGCAGCAGCCAGTGCCTGGCACAGTAAAGCAGCAGGCCCACGCCTCGTCGTTACTACTCCACGCCGGCTGCCCGGCCGGTCTCCGTGTCGCCAGCCGGGGAGCAGGCCGCCGCCCCTGCGGCCGCCATCGCCCCACCCCACCCCACGGCTCCGGGCGCCGGCCGAGGACTCCCCGCTGCGCTACGGCTTACGGCTGCGGGCAGCCACCCAACTGTGCGGTGCGGCCGCTTCAATTCAAGGCGCTGCTGTCCATCGAGAGATCTTTTCCTCCTCGCCGTCCGTTCCGCCCGCCGCGCGCGACGTGTCCGGCCGCTTCACGTGCCACGTCCACCACCCCCTCGCGTCCGTTTCCTCGCCCTCCGGCCGCGCTTGGCGAGTGCCCATGCCCGCGTGCCTGGTGCCCTGCCGCCGCGACCCGCGCACACCACGTCGCCGCCCGGGACACGCACGCAGGCGCGAGCGCCCAGGGGTGGGGTCGTCGTGGGGTTCCACGGCCGGCGTCCAGAACCCGCGTGGGCGCGGGCGACGTGGTCCGCCTGCCCTGCCTCGCACATGAGCGCGCATGTGGTCGCTGCCCCCGCCCGCCCACGCGGCGGAGCTGCCGCCGTTACGACGAGCGGCTAGCCAACCGCCACCGCCTCTCCTCGAATCTTGGACCAGCTACGGTGGTCGTTGGTCAAATCAAAACCGTCGTGATCCGATCCACCGGCTTCACTGATGACCCATATCTTTCCTTCCTTTGTTTATTACGCTTCCTG